CTCTTTCCCGTCTGTGGGACAAATTTCTATAATTATCAATCAATAGTGAATTTTCGCAACTGGGTCAGACTTCGTGGTTTTTCTCTTTATTAGTTTTCTACGTAAAAACTTATGGAGCCATCACACCATGTTTCTTTTTCATTTGTGTGTATGTTGAATTCTCGTTTAATACTAAGACAATAATCTGTTACTCTATCGCCACAAATTTTCTAGCACGCATCAATATCTGTGTGTACGCGCGTGCACATCCTTATGTGGCAAGTTGTTAGACAGCTGTGTTGTCACTCATAAGATCCCTCTGACCCGAGTTCGATCTCTACTGGAATGGATAACACATAAGAGGAGCGATATTCTCTAACAACACCTGCAAGATTTGAGAACCCGGATCATTTGACAATACTAATCAAAAGTATCGTATATTGCTTTCACAAACCTAGGGTTTTCGCTCTTTCTAGCACAACATACCTAGCCACCTCTCAATGATAAATTCAATGCGAGAGATGTTATTTGTATTCTTGGGATTTTTATAGGGACCATACATGTTCCTCGTAATTTTCCTTAACCAATGCAAATATGTTATATTATTAATATGCATCCCTACAATTAATAGTGTATTATTAACCCGAGCAAAAAATACTATAAATAATGGCAAGAAAAAAAATACAAACATTTTTTTATTGATATTAAATAGTAAAAATCAACTTATGCTACATCCAACCCTTAGAATGAGGGATTAGTCTATTTTTAATGAGAAAATGCCACAAGATAAAACTTGCTTAAACATATTTACCACATTTAATATCAAATGAGAGAAATAGAAGAACACAGATAAAAAACCTTATGACATCTCCCACACAATCCTTCTCCTTGCCCAGTTTCTGTCACAAAGTTCTCTCTAATGACTTCTCCCATGTTTTCCCTCAAGCAAGCAGTATGAAAGCTACTGCAAAACCTATCGTCGAGCTTGCCCAAATGTCTCTCGATTCATAAAAAAAACACATCCTTGACTATGGGCATATCAATTGGTTCCAATAATCTTAGCCATTGCCTCTAGTTTATTTTGGATGGCTCTAAGGCTACTTAAAAGTTATCTCTATCCTAACAAATCTTGTAAAGATTATCGGCTTGCATTAAATAGCCTTATAAGACATTGACCTATGATGGTTGATGATAGTTTATTTTAGTGGACTATAAGTAGACTTACAACCCTTCCTTAAAGTCTTCTAGATGTTTATATAGCTTGAAGACATTAATGTGCATTATATCTTTGGTTTATCTTTTCTTAGGACAATATGATATGACATTCCACCCCATTAGCCTTATTTTAACTGCTAGCCAGCTTAGTTCTTACATGATAACCAATAAAAATATAACATTTAGTCACCTACCTTAGTAAGCATGATCGTTTCTTAATTAAAATTTATTTCTACTATCAATATAATATTCATATTAGAGATTCAACATACCAAATAACTACCACTTCTGAAAATCAAACCCTTGACGATACAACTAATATTTATCCTTCCAGAGAAAGGGAGCCAGAGCCAACTGTAACTCGAGGGTCTCATCATACATATGCGTGATATTCTTCGTCCTAAGAATAAGTCAATGGTTGATTTTATGGAAAAAAAAAACAACATTTTTAGTGTTCTTCTTATTTCTGCTCCTGCTCGCTTCATAGTAAATCATATTGACACATTTTATACTCAAAAGAACGAGAAAATGATCAAAATACATACGAAGCCATTGGCCAATTTGATTAGAGTTGTCAAATCACAAAATACATAAGAATTAAAATATTTCTTATAATTTATATCTATATTTATATTTTCATTGGGATGTTCTCCCCATGAATTGGTCAACCACAGCTGTACATAACAATCCACAGCAGATGCAATTTTGTTGCTCTCCATATTGCCTCCAGGACTAAGTTATTTATCATATTAAATTATTTATATGTGAAAATAAAACAGCTAATAAAAAATAAATAAATATATTGAAAATTAGAGATGGACTCGTCAATTACGATGTAGCCCAGTGGCATTTTCGTGATTCAGCTGAAACTTAGTCGTTTCAAAATGGCAGGTTCCATCATGCTGGCGGTTCTTCCCGGACTTCTATTTCGTATTTATTTATTGTGCTAAGATTTCTCCTTCTTGAACGATGGGAGTTTTTCGTTTTGCAGTCGATGGTCTAGCTGGTTCTCCAGTTTCTGAATCGTCTTCTTCTCCTTTCCCTCCATTTTAGGTTCGATCATCTCTTGTATTGATCGTGGATTCGATGCATAGGCAGCTCAGAGCTGATGGGTTTTGTGGGTACTTTCTTGGAACTCATTGGGTTCGGCTTCGGAATACCGATCGGGCTCTTGATCGGATACTTCATCTTCATCTTCTACAACGAGCGCAAGGACGTTAAGGTTTCTTTCTTTGTTTTTCTATTCCTGTTTTCCTTTCTCCTTCTCTTTTGATACATGTGGATATGGGCAAGTTTATTTTGAAGGGGAATGTGAAGGAAATCAAGGTTCTGGGGTTTTGTTTTTTGATTTAGTAAAGGTATTTGTGTTGATTCTGGTTGTTGGAGCCGTGGATGAAGCTAAACGGGGTTTTGATGTCTCGGGGGTGGCGTTCTTCTGTTTGTGATTGAGCTGATTTTATTCGAATTGTGCATGGGTTTTCGTTTGTTTTTTATCTATGCTTCCATGTCTCTCACATAACAGTTATGTTCTTCCTAATGATACTTCTGTTCTTGATTTATTTGGATGTTCAAGGTAATTTTGAAACTGCGTCAATTTTTTATTTGTATAATTTTTTTTTTTTTTTTTTTTGCATCAAATTTCTTTATTGTATATGAATTTGGCCATCTGATCTTCATGATAGTAATAATTAGTGCAATTTAGAACTTTGTGGATGATGAAGGTGTTGTTATATGTGCTTTTGGCAGGAACCCATTGTTAGACCTCTGATTGAGCTAGATTCAAAGAGCTTGCATAAAGTCCTACCGGAGATTCCAGCTTGGTTGAAGAATCCTGACTATGACAGAGTAATTTTTACTCTTTATTTGTTTTACATAATTGATATTTTGGCTTTTATGCCAATATTCAAGCACCAGCAGGCTTGTGTCTCACCTTTTTTATGATTATGGTGCTCATCTTGGATTGGGTATTATTTATTTTATTTTCTGTTATTATTATTATCTTGATGCAATGGTTTTATTTTGTGGCAATGGTCATGACTCCATGGCACCATTATGGAGGATCTCTGCTCGCACCATGGAGGTGAGAGTTTGAGCGCATTAACTTGGAACAATTATGATTCCCTTGAGGAAAAAAATAGACAAATTGTTTTGGTAAAAGTAAGAAAAATTATATAACAGTTTTATCCTGCTTTCTGGATTGCATTTCATGACAAATGTTATATGACTTTTGACTTGCTTATAATGAAATTGTTGTTGAAATTTTTTGTTTTTAAAAAAACCTTGTTATGATGCTTTTTTGGATTATTTCAGGGCAAAGATTGCCTATAGTTGGACTGTATGTTTTTTTTTTTGTTTTTTTGGCCTTTTTATAGTGGAAATGTGGTGGATTGATCTATCTATGGTAATTAACTGATAGCAATTTAAAATTATTCTGATGAATTATATATTCTTATAAATTGTATGATTTAAACAGTAGGATAGCAGGTTCTACCCTCTATAACTTCAATGAAAGTCAATTTTTTTTTGTCCACATGGTCAAGTTAGCAGATCATGGTTAGCAAATTTAATCATTTACATGAATGATTTAAATTATTACACATAAATGTCACTTATCTCAAAAAAAATTTGTGCTTTTGTGAACTCTGCAAGATATTGTGAAGTAAATTTTATTTAGGTGTTACGATATTCATGGGAAATTCCCCAGCAACTTCAAGATATGTAAGAATTTTGAACATATGATTTTTTATATTCACAATTGTCATTTCATGATCCATTTGATGGGATTTTCAATTTGCTGATTCACTCTCGTTTGTTGAACTACATCACTGTTATGCTTTGAGCGATAATCCAAATTTTGAGTTGTCTCATTCTGCCTTGTGCCAACAATTTAATATCTTAGATTTTATTCTTATTTCAAGGAAAAAATTTAGATCGTTTGATTTTATTTTCTTTCTATAAATGTTAAGATGGTTATTTTTGTACTAACTTTTAGTATTTAAATTGCATAATCACGCATTGTGATGCTCACATACTTAACAATAACCTATCATTATGCCTTTGAAATAAAAATTTTCCAAAAAAGAAAAATCAATGAATTAAACATTTTTTTGTTCTATCATACCAAATGATATTTTCCAATGTGATGAATGACACAATCAATGAGATACAAAATGAAAAAGAAAGAAATAACTACGTGGATATTTCGTTGAGATTCTTTTGAATTTAACACCTAATAGGCGACCAAAAGAGTGAATAATTTCATTATAAAAAATTGCAAAGCTTAAAAAGTTTGTTTTTGAAGTTCATTTTGCTTATATTTTGAAACATTAGTTGTTTTTATAGGCAAAATTAATGATCTTTATATTATGTGATTTGCGCAGGTTGATTGGATGAACAAGTTTCTCTTTGACATGTGGCCCTACTTAAACAAGGTTGCTCACCTATTGCGTTTTTTTTATTTTTTAGCTATCAAGTGACATTATTTTCTTTGACTGCATCGTTAACTGCTTTCCTTGTCTCTTCTATGAACAGGGGATATGCAATACAATTAGAGTCACATTGAGACCCATATTCGACCAATACATTGGGAAGTATTGCATAGAATCCATTGATTTTGATGACCTTACACTTGGCAGTTTTCCTCCTATGATTCATGGTGTGTCTTCATCACCCCAACTCTTATCCCTGGTATAGAATGAAATATTTATTGTTTGCTTTGTGATGTTAAGCATGTCTATTTTTGAAGTGATACATGTGAGCTTAAGAGGATTCAATTTAGTCTCACAACATAGTTAAAAAATATATTAATATACAAATACTATATGGCTAGTTCTCACCCCCAAGGTTAAAAACTTCGTATCTAATGTAGTTTGTGAGGGGATTAATGCATTTGTAGCCTTTTTTTTGAGGACACATTAACCTAAAAAATGTAGCTGGTGTATTTGGGGGCTGGTTTGTTTGTAGGAGGTAGCCATGGAAAGAATTGGCAACTAATGGTATTGAGATGAGTGTATGTAGTTTGCTATAGTGAAATAGTTGGTAGGGTGAGAGGTTATTCATGATGAGTAAGGGGTTTTGATTTATAAGATATACGGATGTGAAAACTTTATTAGCAGGGAATTAGAATGAGATAAGGAAATAATGGAGATAGTTGGTAGATAGAATTTTCTGTATTCCATTCATCCTTAATGCATACAATTGCTGAGAGTTTGTTTCAGCTGTACATAATTTGTTAAAGTTTAATGGCTGAGATTGAACTGTACAGGTAATTTAATCTCTGTTTCAATTTTCTTATTCTTAATATTGGTTAATCTAGTTAGTAGTAATCTTGCTGAGATGAAATTGTTATTTTTCTCTTACCGGGAGCTTCTCTGGGTTGGGCTTCTTATATGAATACTGTTGAATGTCTAAATACTTCATTTCCAACTGTCAAAATAGTCGCCTGACTGTTTACATGAGGTCAATTTAGTCCCAAAACCTATAAAAATACCAAATTAGTCTCCAAACTCATTAAATTGGGGCTAACATAGTCATCTATGGGAATTATTTAGGAACCATTTCGACCCTTATTAAAAGAGTCTAGAAACTAAATTGAAACTATAGACTCTGAGACTAAAATATCCTCATGCAAATAGTCAGATGACTATTTTGACACTTTCTCTTTCATTTTCCTTTTAGGGAACCCGAGTAAGAATTTCAATCTGATGTCTGATTCTACATTCCAACAGGTATTAAAGTTATAGAGACTCAAGAAAATGAACTAGTTATTGAGCCAAGGGTTAGATGGGCTGGCAACTGCAGCGTCACCGTATCTCTGAAGCTTTTGTCTTTTAAATTTACAGTGCAAGTGAGAATTCACACCAGATAATAGCTAGTGATAATTAATTTTATTTGTTACTGCTTGCAACTCATGCAGCCTGAACACCATATATTTCCACAGTTGTTGGATTTACAAACATTCTTGGCCCCTCGAATTACTCTAAAGCCGCTAGTTTCGAGCTTCCCATGCTTTGCAAGTATAATTGTTTCTTTGGTTGAAAAGGTAATTACTAATTTGAATTGTTTTGCTCTTTCATTATAACTTGTATAAGATTATTACATTCAATTGTTGACAGTCCTACATTATGATTGTAGCCTTTTGTTGACTTTGGGCTCAAACTACTTGGCGCAGACATCATGGCTATTCCTATTTTATATCGCTTTGCTCAGGTTTTAACTTTAAACTTACATTATTCAGCATAAATTATCTGGAAAACATGCAATCTTTGTAGAATTTTGAAATGATTTAATAACAATGCTTTAAGTCTTAATACAGTTCAAAGTTGGAGTAGGAACTGACTATAATCTCTATGATATTGCTTTTAGGATAAGATTGCATCTGAAATCTCAAATCTGTACCATTGGCCTAATGATATGGAAATACCAATACTGGATAATCTCAGGTTATATTCTGTAATTAAAGCTATGTTTGGGTTTGCATGTCATATATTCTATTTTTTTGGTGAAATCCTTGTTATTTTTTAAACTTAATATAAGCCTCTTCTGCAATAATCGTTACTGTTTTTCTTGGACAGTATAATTGAATCTCAACAAGTTCCTTAATTTTTCTATTCCAAACCAGTCGCAGCAAATGCTGTCTATGATCTGACATACATATTTTTATTGACTTCCGGTCCTTTTATTGCAGTTTAGCCACCAAGAAACCTGTTGGCATATTGCATGTAAAGGTTGTGCGCGCAATTAATCTCCTAAAGATGGACATTCTTGGTAAATCTGATCCTTATGTCAAACTGAGTTTGAGTGAGGATAGACTGCCCTCAAAGAAAACCTCTGTAAAGATGAGCAATCTGAATCCTGAATGGTACGAAAATTTCAAGTTTATTGTGAAAGATCCTCAAACCCAAGTTCTTCAGCTACATCTGTATGACTGGGAAAAGGTTTAGCTCCAAACATTAGGGTCGAATATGGCTTTGACTGCATAATATATCAGTTCCAACTTTAGTTATCCTTCAACGTGCGCTCTATAATTTGTGTTTTCGTTTAATGCAGGTTAAAGCACATGATAAATTGGGCATGCAGGTTGTGCCACTGAGCTCACTCGTTCCTCATGAAATGAAGGAAATTACTCTTGATCTTTTGAAGAACATGAACCCAAATGACCCCCATAATAAGAAGGATAGAGGGAAACTTGTGCTAGAATTGACTTTTGAACCGTTTAGAGAAGAATTTAGTGGAGTTTTAGGTGGTGAACGAAAGCTCAGTGGACTGGCAAGAAGTTATTCGCTAGATAGCACATCTGGTAGTGGGGTTCTTTCTGTAAATATTGAAAGTGCTGAACATGTTGAGGGGAAGCATCACAACAATCCCTATGCAGTAATTCTTTTTAGAGGAGAAACTAAGAAGACGAAGGTAAAAATTCATTACTTCTGTTCAATATCCTCTAGTCATATATTATTTATTAAAGAAATTTACATACATGCCATACAATCCTTATATATTTGCATTTCTACATTTCTCACACCTAGTTTGATATTTACACTTATAACCTATGCATGAAAAGGAGTACTTCACTTTTAGAAGGATAGTAATGGTGGTATTTTTGGTGTGATGTTAAAGAATTTTTATGTATTTACATAGCTATTATTTTCATTTTTGTTTAATTTTTGTTATATTTATATTAGGCCGTTAAGAGAAGCAGGGATCCAAGGTGGAATGAAGGCTTTCAGTTCATGTTAGAGGAGCCACCAGTCAATGATTTCATTCACATTGAAGTCATTAGCAAGAGAAGGGGCTTTAATTTTTATGGCAAGGTTGGAAAGATTGAAACTTCGCTCATACTTTTGGAGCTTTTTGCAATCCAAATTACTCGAATTTTGAAATGCTTTGTTTGCTCTGCAGGAATCTCTGGGACATGTCGATCTTAAGCTCGCAGATGTTATCAATAATGGTCGAATCAATGAGAAATTTCATCTCATAAACTCCAAGAATGGTGTGATTCACGTTGAACTCACATGGAGCACTGTCTGAACAATCCGGTTAAAGGTACTGTAAATTTTTCACTTGAATTCTACTTGACAGTGGAGTATATATAACATTTTATAAATTTCTATACCATTTTGTATTCAATTAAAAAAAATATTTTTTTGAACCACATATTTGAGGTCTGTATGATTATCATAATGGCTGTAGAAACTATTATCAAGTCCATTTTTTGTCAGTTGGAATGAATTCTCCTTGTTTATTGATTGTTTGTGCTGGAGATATATGATCTGTAATAATGAAGAAAATATATTCCAGAGGTGATGGATTGGATATATCTCCTGTTTAGTAGTTTTAAGGGTATTTAAGTATGAATTAGTTTAGTTGCTAATAGTGATTATTTAGACATTAAGGTCATATAGATGAAAATTGAGGAATTAATAAAGTTTAGGGTTCAAGAGTAAAGCCCAAATTATTCTCTTAGGACTCATGTATTTGGATGTGGATAGAAATGTTTTAAGAAAAAAAATGATTTGGATTTCAGTATTTATTTTGAATCATTTTAAGGGAAATTTGAATGTATTGGTAGAATTCAAAACTCACTTTTTTTTTTCTAATTAGATTGAGGTGTTGTTTACACAACAACAACAACAACAACAACAAAGCCTTAATCCCACTACGTGGGGTCGGCTACATGAATCCTTTTTCTCCATTGCGTCCTATTTAGTGTCATATTTTCATTTAGTTCTAGTAAATTAAGATCATTTTTAATACAATAAGCCCAAGTCTTCCTAGGTCTACCTCTGCCTTTCTTAACACAAGTTGAATCTAAAACATCTACTCTCCTAATCAGATCATCAGATGGTCGAGGTTTAATGTGACCAAACCATCTAAGACGACTTTCTCTAATTTTGTTCATCACAGGAGCTACACCAACCCTATCACGGATATATTCATTTCGTATTTTGTCTCTAAGTGTAAAGCCACTCATCCACCTAATCATTCTCATCTCGGCAACACTTAACTTATTATTATGCTTCTCTTTTAAAGGCCAACATTCATATAGCATTGCAGATCTCACCATTTTAAAGGCCAACATTCATCTAATGAATTTATTAGATGCATATAGCATTGCAGATCTCACCATCGCCTTATAAAATTTTCCTTTCAGTCTAAGCGGTACTTTTCTATTACACAAAAGACCCGAAACATTCCTCCACTTCAACCAACCAATTTGAATTCTACTATTAACATCCCCATCTATATCACCATCGCTTTGAACAACAGACCCAAGATATCTAAATTGTTCACACATTTTAATAATTTGATCACCCAAAGTCACACTTCTGTCACTAGAGCTATTACTACTGAAATTACATTTCATGTATTCAATTTTAGTTCTACTTAAATGAAGGCCTTTAGACTCAAAGATTGAGGTGTTGTTGAATTTACTAAAAAAAGGAATGAAATATAAAATGAATATTGTATAATTGAGACGTTGTGTATTTAAAATACATTGAAGTTATTTTGGTTTGGTATAAAATAAATACATTAATTTATATATTTGTGTTTGGTTTGAAGAAAAATAAAATTAATATAAAATATGCTCGACAATATTGGCGGTGGTGGTGATCAGTTGCAACAACACCATGGCCTTGAGGCGACAGCTTGCGAATAACAATTGTGACGACAGGCGCTGACAACAAGCTGTTGGCGGTGGTGGCGACAACAGTAGGTAACCAACGGGTGAGCTGCTGGAGACATTCGATCGGTTGACATGTAACTGTGGCAACAACAACAGACTACAATTTACATTGTATTTAGAAATCATCCAAATATAAAGAATTCGAAATACCCTTATTTTGAATCTAATAAATTCATTATTTTTTAAAAATATTTTTATTCTTAAGCAACCAAATGAACTTTTAAGTAATTTCTAAGATACATACAGCTCACAAAATATTGTGGGTGTGTGTGTGTGTGGAGAGAGAGAGAGAGAGAGAGAGAGAGAGAGAGAGAGAGAGAACACTTAAAAAGGGACAATTACATACATAGCATTTTAAAGAGTACTATTTATAAACTTATTATCCTCTTTGATCTATTTTTATAATTCTCACTCAAATATCAAAATTCAAGATAAAAACCCAACCCAATTTATTTTTATTTTTATTAAATTCTCAATGGTTTGATCATGGTAGGTGAATATGCCTCTGTTCAGTCCTTCAAGAATATTATCTCGGTATTAATTTTGTAAATAATAATATTTTAACAGTTATGTATATATTTATCCCTTAAGAATAATATTAAAAATGTAAAATTGATCGATTCTTCTGTCTTTTTGAAGATAACATCACCTGATTTTTATTTTTAAGATTTTAACTATCTTTTGAAACCTTGTTAGTCTAGTAATTTAATACTTTTAGGAATAACATGTAATGTGACAATTTGGTATGATGGAACATTTCTTAGAAAGTGGTTAAATGAAAATTGAAGGATTTTAGTTAAAAAGAAGACTATTCATTGTGTTTATATAATATAAAGGTCCAAATTATGTCCCCTAACCATTTGTATACGTCTCACATTTATTTAATCTGTCCTGATGACAATACAACATTTATGCTAAATGATCTCTCAATTTGGAGAAAAATATTACGTGCGACAACTGCATGTCCGAATGGGCCGTGTGATTGCATCTGGACCGTCGTCCGGATGGGTGGGGGTGGTCTGTCACACGTAATGTTTTCCCTCAATTGAGAATTGAGAAAAATTTGATCCAATTTAGTCTATTGATTATATAAAATTGATCTCAATTTAACCTCTGATGAAATTTGTGGAGATAATTTGTATAGTCAATGAACAGAAGTGAAAAAATGATGCTATTTGATAATATTGAACGCATATAAGTATTCTTCGAAATATATTGATTTTTTATTTGTTTATGATACATGAGGATGGAGAACTACTGTGAAACTGCCCATTTTCTTTTGGGGCCTTTTCCATTTAAATATTTCATATTTAAAATTATGGAAACTTACGTACATACCACAAATTTTTATAAAATTGCATATAAAACATTCATATTTATATTTATAATAGTAGTGCTATAAATCCATGCATGAAAATTGTATATATCATTTTCAAAACGTTAATAAGGATTGTATATTTTTGTTGTGATGTTTCTAGTTTTATGCATGTGAATATGAAAATTTATGTGTTGGATATATAAATTCATAAGAATTATATGATATGTATGTAAATGCCTCTTTAAATTATTATAATTAAATATATAATAAATATAGAATGATCTTGTTGCATGCTCATAAAAATTGTAAAGGTAGAATGATATTTAATGTTTTAGTGTTGTTTGAAGAACCAAACACACATAGGTAAAAAGAAATTGGTTGAAAGGCATCATGAGTATTTATGTCGAAAATACAAAAGGATAAAAAAACCATAGGTTCTTATCCGATCGAAATGATTCCACTTATGTTTTTGTAAGTTACAAGATTTTGTTTGCTCTTAACTCATTGGGGGCAAGATTACACAAGTGACGTGACTTCTGTTAGAGGAGTGACGTATTACATTAAGGAAATGGTAACGTTTTGACTGCAATGGTCCAATGACACCTATAGTTGTGGTATCAATGATGATCGGGTAGTGGTGGTGCCAGCAACTGTAGTGCAACGACCGATCAATGGTGGCCTGGAAGCAGTGACAGTAGTTTAGTTGGTGGTGGCCGAAATGTGATAGTTTGATGGAGGCGACTGTTGGTTGGTTGTGGCCAGAAAGTGGTTATGGTGTTGTGGTACTAGCAGCAACTCTACAATGAATACTAGGTAGTTGCCATTCGACAGTGGCGATGACCGATCGACAATGGCTGTGAGTAGCAACTATGTTTCGATGGTGGCATCACAACATCATTCTGGTGGAGGTGTCAGACAGAAATCAACGATGGTGGTACGATGATGGCGATGGCTCAATGGCTATGATAGTGCAGTGACATTCCCTCAGTTACCGAGAAGCTGCGATTATGGTTTGATCATGGTAGCTTGATGGTAGTGGCCAAGCAGTAGCAATTCACAACGACCGATCAATGGTGGCCTGGAAGCAGTGACAATTGTTTAGTTGGTGGTGGCCGAAATGTGATAGTCTGATGGTGGCGGCTGCTGGTCGGTTATGGCCAGAAAGTGGTTATGGTGTTGTGATACTAGCAGCAACTCTATGATGCCTACCAGGTAGTGGCCATTCGACAGTGGTGATGACCGATCATCAATGGCTGTGAGCAACAACTGTGTTTCGATGGTGGCATCACAACATCATTCTGGTGGAGGTGTCAGACAGAAATCAACGATGGTGGTACGATGATGGCGATGGCTCAATGACTATGATAGTGCAGTGACATTCTCGCAATTATCGAGAAGCTGTGATTATGGTTTGATCGTGGTAGCTTGATGGTGGTGGCCAAACAGTAGCAATTCGAATTCAACGATGATGACAGTTGGTCGGTGGTGGATGTGAAGCGACAGTTCATGGTAGCTGTCGATGGCCTGGAAGCGACGATGGTGGTTTGATGATGGCAGCGGTCCAATGATGGCGATGGTCCAATATTGGCGGCGGCTTGTCGGCAGTGCCAATAAGTAGGGAATGTGGTCCAATAGTGGTGGCTCATGGTGGTGACTACCGAGCAGCTGTGGTCCGGTAGTGGCGGTGGTGGCGGCTGGTGGACGGTGATTATGGAACTCAAGATCCCTCAGGAGCTTTGAACTCCCCTTCCACCTCCTCCTTCAAGTCCAGATCTCAAGTGTCCCTTCACGAAGAGAGTGAGGTTTTTTAGTGACATCCTCTATAAATAGTGCATGAACATGAACCATTCTATTAAATGATCCATTACAATTCCATTAATCTGATAGAGTTTTATGAGCATTTGAGTGTCTTAGTGATGTCTGAATCGAGGCATCATGGGCTCATTGGATTTAGCTCGATGAGACTCTCGATTTGACCATAAACTTGTCAGATTATGAATCCATTTTACCTTTCATTTATTTGTCCAAAGTATTCAATTGTGCTTAAATGACATGATCAGACTCATATTAATCCAATTTTGGCTTTATTGGGCTCTCCTTGCTAAACGATCAGTTTGACAATAAGCTTGCTTGACCAATCTGCGTCTTGGATGATCTTGAATTTGAATATGAAATATTAATTTTTTTTTAAATGGTC